TACCCCCAAGAACAAGGTACGTGAACTTTGCGCCATCTAGTTTTATCTTGCCTAAGAATTCTAACTTGAGCTTCGGAGCATTCATACCGGGTTCTCCCCGGAGCTTCCCCATCTTCTCTGTTTCAGGCTCCCTGTAGCTTCGTTCAGAGGCAAGGTCGTTGACAGCTAGGACCAGCCGGATTGCGCACCATCAGGTGGCAACGAGCCGAGCTTTTCACGAGTTGCTCAAGCTCAACTTGATTTTAACTGAGCTCGAGCTCGAGCCTACTAGAGTTCGACTCGATTATTATATATATTTATTATTTAATATATATATATATAATATAAATATTATAATATTAATTATTATAATTCTTAATTTTTTAAATATAAAATAAAAACTATTTTTATATATAATTTTTTATTTTTATAAAATATTTTTTCTCAAAATCGAGCTCGAGCTCAAGGTTCTGGCTCAAACCGAGCTCGAGCTCGAGCCTAGTACTATTCAGCTCGGCTTGGCTCGAATCCACCCCTACTTGCTAGTTCGAAAATAGTTCATTTTTTAAGAAAAAAGTGTTTAATTCATAGCAATATTTTTCTCATTTTACTCATTATTGTCCATTTTTAAATTTTATCTTGGATAAAAATGAGAAAGAATGAGAATTGAACCAAACATGGCCTAAGTTGCAACTACTTGGTGTATAACAAATCACACAATTGTTGCATGAGGAAATAGGCCTCCTACATTCTACAATCACTGGCGAGATCCATCAAAGTGTTCAAAAATATAGCCTCAGCCATTTCAGCAAGTCCCGATTCTAAGTGTGCTCCCATTTTTAAACCCTCTAAGAAAGCTATAGCCTCAGCCATTTCAGCAAGTCTTGGATCAAAAGGAACAACATGAACAAAAAGGAATTCCCCTTTCTCAAATTGGGAAGAGTGCAAATACAAATGTGTTCAGTGCAAATATTGTATTTGCACAGAAGGCTTTGTTTGGAAGCGATGTAAAACCTCATCGGTGTAAAAGTACATCGATGAGGTTTTACATCGAACAGAAAAAAATGATCGTTAATTTTAAAAAACGTGAATTCAAAAAGCGTAGAGTTTTAAATTGATTTTATTGATGTAAAACTTTACATATGATGAGGTTTTACATTGATTTACGACGTAAAACTCCGCTCTATCCAAACACTGACAAATCTAAACTAGAGTGAAGTTTTACGCCAATTTTGATTTATACTCCTTCAAATGCCAATAAAACTGGACCAACATAAATATTTACATCGATCTTGATTTGCATCGCTTTCAAACATAGCCAAAGACTTGATTTGAAAGAAGTACAAATGCAAATACGTAGAGTGCAAAACCTTACATTTTCTATTATTTTGTATGTATTTATACTGTGCTTGCACTTATTCCAAACTTAGCCAGTGTGAGTTTAGAAATGTGGGGTGCTGATGTGTTATTGTTGGAAATTTAGTATCGGGTGCTAATGTGTTATTGTTGGAAATTCAGTGGGTATTTAGTTATTTACAAATCACCTCGCTTCTTTGTTCTTTTATATCCTCTGCCCCTCACCTTCCCTCCTAGTCCTCGTTTCCTTTTTATTTTTGGATTAAATTTCTTAAACTATCCTTATAATTCTCTCATTTCTTTACTAAAAACCTAGTGGTATTTTAGATGTAAATTAGGAATTTTTGATAAATATAACAGTTACGCAACGTTACATGCGAACGGTTTACGACGGAGCATTAACGATAAAGGAGGTTTTAGCAATTGTTAAGCGTGGTGCAAGAAAATAGTTAAATATAATTAGTCAATTAGATAAAAGAAAAAAGCAAAAAAAGGCGAGAACGAGCGCGTCACCCATTTTCTAGGGTTTCGCTTCTACATCAATTTGAGTCACGGTGAAGCAAAGAGGACGAACCACTCGAAGCAAGCACTCTTGTTACATTACATCAGAGAAAAGGGGTGAAACTGTAAGCAGTCTCTCCTTTCCTCTCCTCTTCTCCTTCTCTTTCTTAGTTAGTTTCTGCGAACATTTGGATCGCAAAATATGTTTTTTCTTTTTGTTTTCTTTGAAATTAATGTCATTAAATCGAAACTCGATGGATTAAACGGGTTTTAGGGTTTTGTTTCGTTCTTTGATTGTTTCCAGGGTTCCGGAAGATGGCTGGAAAGGAAGAGATGCGTATTTTTGTTGGAGGTCTATCATGGGACACTACAGAGCGGCAACTCGAAGATGCATTCAGCCGTTACGGGAAGATTGTCGAGTCTCAGGTAAGGATTTCGTCATTGGTATTTAGTACATAGTACTACCACATTTTTTTTTGTTGCAATTGTTTTCTATTGTGTAATACTCTGAACGCTTCGGTCAAGAATTAAGACCTGAACACCAAAGTTTTCGAAATCTATGGTTCATTTTAAGGAGGCTAAATCTGGAATTTTTCCATTCTATGTGGCTTTTCAAATTCGATTATTCTTTGTTCCTACTCCAAGCACATTTCAAGTATCTATTAATGTTAAGATTGTAATTGCTTCATTTGACTATCCTAAAGCCTTTACATAATATTAATGTCAAGTATCTGATTCATTGTTTTGCTCTTCCATCTGTCTTACATTACATAAGTTTGTTTTTTTAGCTCTTAAGTTCTTATGTACCTTTCCTATTTTGCTTTCATCCCCCAATGTATTAATTGTCTTTCTTGTGTTTTGTTGTCTTTATGGAATGGTGGTTTGATCTCTTGAAACGCCTTAGATGGGTCCTATGAGAGATTGCTGGTCAATTGGATTGCATTGGGTTGGGATGCTTGATGGCCTTTGTTTGATTACATTTTATTCAGATGTTTCTGTTTTGAGATTATCAAGCTGGGAAGTATCTGCATAAAGAGAGGCATCTAGATATCTATTATTTTGCATTGAGTTCACTGATATAACTCTGGTTGGATTCCCAGTCATCTGCTACAGTTGCAATTTGTTGGAAAGGAGTCTTATTTGTGCAAGGAACATTGGTCTGCAATCATGAAGAAACCCTATAGCAGGCTCTTGATGTGCGATTCAATGCTACAGATCAGTATTGACTAGTCATCTGGTCATAATAATGTAACAAACATTGGGAAGATTCTTTTTACTGTGAAAATGGATGGACCCTCTGGACTCCACAAAGAAGGAAATGAAATGTAACTGGTTGGCACTGTTTCATTCATGTCCATGGCATAAAAGCCATTTGTTTGAAGAAGTTTGCTCATTTCAGCCTGTTAAAACAAATCTCACATTTTGTTTTATGCAAGCTGCTAGGTTGATCTGGACCATGAAAGTGAGAGGTTTGCTTAATTTGAAATGAACAAAATTCTTCAATTGGATTTGGATGATTCAGCCTATGTTGTCATTCTGTGCATGCGCATCAGTGCATGTCAAACAATGAACAATTGTATTCTTCTTTTCTCATGGAACTTGAGGAGGTCCGTTGCAGTGCATCTGAAATGGCATGCCATCTTTCACTATGTGTGGAATCTTCCAAAAGACTGTTACTTCATTATGACTCGTTGATTTTTACATTGAAATGCAGAAGAGGTCATGTGCCTGATTCCTTGTTAGCCTGCTAAGGGAGCATGAGTGTGAAAGTTCCTGCTGATGTTTTTTGTGTATGAGATATCAGCTGGTGTTGATCGACTTCACAACTTCAGATACATCATGCACCAGGATGCAAGTACTTGCAAGAGAGTGCTCATTTTTTCAGATTCTCAGTTGCAACAAATGTTATGCAATACCTTTCTGCAATTAGGCACCTTTAGAAACTCCATCTGCTAATTGATCCCCGTGATAGACCCATCAGTCAGTGCTCTTCAGTTCCCACACAAGAAGTTTGGTTTGATACTTGTTTTCTACTAGTTCGAACTTCTCTAGGGAGTTGATTCAACTTGAGGATTGTGTTGCTGAATGTTTCTGGTTAATTTGATCCGGAAGTGATTTCTTTTTTCTGCCAGAATTATTTTGTGGTTACAACAATTTGAGCTCTTTTTGTTTTTCCTTAGCTATATGAGCGTGATACAGTAATTTTGGACCATTTATATGAGACTTTTGATTTTTTGGTACAGTTTATTTAGTGTTGCATCACATTATTGGAAAATTTCCAGTTTCAATTGTCAACAATTTCAGTTCAGAGTGTGAGTTCTATCCCTTGAGTTTACCTAGTTCTGAGTTTGATGGAAGATACTGCATCAAGTAACCTTTTCGTAATATAAATTGGGATTGTAGTAGAGATTTTATCAATCAAGGTAATTATCCCATAGAGCTTTTATAGCAAGTGGCAGATGACAGATTTTGCACTTGTTGCTTAGGTGTTGTGAAATATTCATCTGGCGGATGCTTCACAGGTTAGACAAGACCTAAAAATCAGAACTTTGTAGAGGAACTGAGGAAGTGCATTTTCCGATCTCCATTTCAGATAGTTAATCTGTTTATTTGTGTACCATGTGAGTGTTTTCTGTTGTTGGATTCTTCAATCACCTGCCTTCAAGACACAGAAGAATTCTCCAAAGTATCCCTGACATCCAATTTGGATGGTTTGCTAGTGGGTAGTGGCACTGCTTGATGATTTATTTACTGTAAGTTGGGATTGAAATTTTAAGTGGAGTTTGTTTATGCTTCAATTCATCTTAGTGGATACATATTTGCGGTGTAGAGTGGTTGTGATTATCAAGAGGAAGATGGCACTTTGATTATCCACCAGTATTGTACTTGTCAGAAACTATGTTGAGTGTTGGTAATCATTTACGGCACTTCTAGCTGATTCTCATGGAAAACAAATGGAAACAGGAGAAGGCAACACTGGCTTGCGGGCATGTTGATTCAGCAAGTAATCCAGACTGAAAAAGCATCTGATTATAAAAATTGTTGAAGCCAGTTATCTTGGATGATGTATCAGTTAGGTGTAAATTATTGTAAAAACTAGTGTCCATGTTACCTCCTGCTTTACTTCTAGAAACATAACTACATCCCGTTGATTTTTGTTTTGAGATTAGATCAAGTGGCTTTATTTTTGAGATATGTTGGAGAGATCAGTTGTTTTTGAAGCTTTGGTGCTATCTGATTATTTGTAGTGTATTGGACTCCGTACGTTTGGATACAGTGGAATTTGAGATCAGTGTTCATGTCTCAAGTCAGATGGAAGAGAAGTGCAGTTTGTGCATTTTTCTGTTTTCACTTTTCAGTAAGAAAACTCTTGTCAATGTTGAACAGGTTCTTGTGCATTTAGTTTTACCCATTATTCCCTTTCGAAGAACTTTTGACTTTACTTCATTAAAAGCTATAGTTATTTTATGCATGTCTGTCTTTAGTATTGGTTCTTTTTGTTTAATTAGGCATAAATGACTAACTTTTTCTTTTGCTGTGCATATACTAAATGGTAACTTATTATTTAATTAATTTTTTGATCAATAACAGAAGTTGTTATTTCATTTGTTTTAATCAATATAGGGCCCATTTGGCATGTCCTTTTGGGAAGACCTTGTGGTAGCTCCGACATGCAAAAGATGCATTGAGCTTTTGCATGAAGATCTGAGTAGCCCGGAGCACGTTTGGCAGACGCGCGTCTTTCCACGCGAGAAGCTTCATTTTGGAGCTTCCTGAAATCAGCCCAAAATGGGCTTCTTGTGTCTTTTCTGCGTTCTGTCTTTTGGTGGCTAGATCTTCCACGTGCCAAACAGAAATAGACCGGAAATCGATCTTCGTGGCTTGTAAACAACCGAAAGACTGTGTGAAAAGACACGCCAAACGGGCCCATAATCTTTGGTATTAGCTTCTCTTTACAGGCCTAATTCTTGTTTGTCTTCTACTTAATATTATCTTGGTGGGTGCATTCTCTTGGAAACCAAACCTCGATTTTTTTTGGGGGGAACCTCCCACATTTGACATCATCTAGTTTCATTAAGAAATCTTCCTTCTGATTTTATATTCTCCATACCATATGTCATTCTATGCCTGATGTTTTGGTGATTGATGTTTCCAAATACCCTATAACCATTATCAAACCTGTTCTTGTGCTAAACAGATGCCATATCTTTCCAGTGCTGCATGGACCGTAAAATCTTAGTGCTTGAGTCATGGTTCAGTAGCTCTGCCTCTTAAGATTCTTCTCTACTTTGTCTTCAACTGTCATATGAAGACCAAGAGGGATGGAAAAGAAAAAGGAAAGCAGGTAGAGTAGAGGTTGTGTTGCATGGACACTTAAGTTCAGAATTGCTTGACATTCTCAATTTTCTGAGTAATTCTGTGTTCAACAGTCTGTCCATTTTTTTATCTTTGTAAATATAGGCAGGAGGGTGTCTTGTTGTCTACTTTTCTCTATCATGCCTGAAGAATTGAATGATGAACGCCCCATTCAAAAGCATCTTGGCTATTTCCCTTTTGGTAGTCTGAGTTTTCTCCAGATTTTTGGGCTGTGGTATTGGGAAAATTACCTGGGCATCAATTTGACCAAATGTTAGATGTGCGATTATATTTTTTCTAAAGGTTGTGGTCCATCACTTACAATTAGATTATGAAATTCTTTGCAGGAATTCACGTATCTAATAGTCACGTGTCAAGATTCCTATAAGGAAGTTGTAAAACCTTTTCATCAAGCTATAGTGTCTCAGCCAAGGGACAACTAAGGCTTCAAATATTTAACAACCTGATCATCAATACATGGGAGTTGCTATAATGGTTTTAGTGGATCATTCTTTTATCCCTTTCCTCTGTTCATCTTGGGTGAAACTACTTTTTCTCTTTATGAGCTGTAATTATCTTTTCTGCTGCTTGTAAAATTTTCCACGTTGCTAAGCAACATTAAAAGGCAATCAAGTTTAGACTCAATGCCCAGATGCCTATCCTAACATGGGCTTGGTGAGGCATCCATCCAGTACAATCTCTTTTGGCAAGGTGCCACCAACAGTAGGGGTGTCAATTGGACTGGACTTGATCCAATCCGATCCAGTCCAATGTTAGTCCATTATAAATGGACCAAGTCCAATCCAATCCAATGAATATTTTGGACCATTTTGGACCGGTTCAATTCAATGTCTGGACCGTCCAATCTGTTTAAATTCGTTTTGATTTAAATTGGTTTCAACCCAAACCTGGTCCATTGACACCTGTATTCTTATCTTATATCAATGGACCAGATATTGCCTTAATCCAACCCAATCCAATATAAATTTATTAGATGGATCAGGTCCAATCCAATATGTCTTGTTGGTCCATCCAATCCGTCCAAATTGATTTTGGACTGGACAGGTCACGGGGTCCAATCCAAAACTGATCCATTGACACCCTTAACCAACAGGCCATCCTGATAAGTGACAACTAGGAATAACTACTGTTATCCCATGACTGCCATTGTAATTTGATATCTATGCTATAAACAGTGTAAAATCCTTTCTTTTAGTCAATTGAGGTCCAGACCAACTGCATCACTAATTAGTCAGTCAACACTCATGATATGGTCATCTAGGATGACTAAGCATTGACTAAGTTGACTATTCAATTGTCAACCACAAAGTTATTTAAAGCTTTATTTGTTTGTTTGTATCTCTAACTTATTGAAATGATATAGAATATGTTAATAATTTGTTGTATTAATAATGTTTCTTTAAATATTCAGAATGGAACATGATTGGCTGATGGTATAATAGAAAAAAGCCATGAAATTAAAGAAAACATAGAGGAGTTTTTGTAAATTTTCTTCCAATAAGTGGTATGCTGGTATGAAGCTGCCACAAGGAAGGCACAATATGTGGTTGAGATTGCAGTCCTTTGGAGCTGTAATTCCCTATCGTAGACCATGCATCATAACTTTTATGTTTGTAAAACAAAGACAACAAAATAGATGCTCATATCATTTTTATATTGCATTCTTATAGTCTATAATTCTATATTAGCATATTTTTGAGATGCCATCAGTATGTTAAATATAGATTTATCTTTTTTTTATTGACCATGCACTGACTAGTTTATCACATCAACTAGAGAGACCAAAATGATCTTCATTGATAACACTTTGCCCCCTCCATTCTAGTGATTCAGCATTTCTTTAAGCTTTTTTCCTTCTTGTTCGGAGTATATTAAAATTGAAAGTCCCTGCAATCAATTGATGATAAATTAGAAAAAGGTGACCATACTCTTATTAGCAATTTAACATTATATAGGATATGACCTGAAAGAGAGTTGATTTATTAGTATTGTAGGTTACATCCCCTTGAGGGTGGCTTAACCTGTAATTCATAAGCTTATAACCATTTCTGCCAGATTCCCACAATACATGATCTCTATTTTTGTTAATGATTGACTTGTGTAGTTTCTTGCATTAGGTTTTATTTTATATAATTATTTGGTTCTGATTTATGAATTTACAAGGATTGTAACATCCTTGCTCCCTTAAATTGAAAGGCTAAGGTTTTGCACAACTAAATTTTGTTGTGGGCTTTGGTTGGCCTGGTACCACAACCATCTATATTATGAAAGTGGGAATTCAGTTAGCTTTGATGTGATTGAATTGGTAAGTGCCAGTATTGCATGTTTTACATGTAAATTATATGCTTTATTTTTTGGTTATAATTATAACATACCCATCATATGTTTTAGTATTACTATCTGCCCTTTACAGCCTTGGCTGATATTTTGTATTTTTATATGTTAAATCTACATTCTCTATGAGAAAAATAAAAGGTTGCATCTGGAAATTAATTTACTGCAATTGATAGATGATGAATAGGAAAAAAGGCGATTATGGTCAATTAGTCATAGACTTGTGTGATTTGTAGGCTATATTACGTTCCCTTGAGGGATGCCTTAACCTGTAATCTAATAGGCCTATTTGCCACAGAAGAAAACAAGGAAATATGATTTACTTTTCCTGTAAATGCATGTCTGTCATGTTGAGGGTTTATTTGTTTCCCTTTTCTTTTCTTCTCTTTGTTCTTTCTTTCAAATTCAAACCTGAACTCTTTGGTTTTGACATGTTCTCTTTTAGTTACCAATCCATTTATTTCACACAGATTTCAATACTCGTTAATGGTATTTCTCTTTATAGGAGGATGGTAGCATCATTCGTGCCTTTCATGGAATAGCTACCATTTTGCTCAGCTTAATTTTGTTGAGAACTTTGACTGACCTGCTACTACAGTCATCCATTTATTATAATAAGAAATCAGATATTTTGGTGCAATTGATTTGAACCTCAAGTGGATGCCAATGCTGTATGTGTTTTAGATACAAACTTCATGTTTTTTGGTTACAAATTAAAATGTCCATTCATTTATTTTAGTATTATTATTGGTAGTGCCATTGTAACAGCATTGGACAATATTATGCATGTTCTTGTGTAAAATTTGGGATCTTCTCAATGGAAAAGCCAGATGATTGCACATGAAATTTAATTTGGGATCTCTTGAATTGAATGAGTTGCTTGTTTGTTAGTTTGAAATTTATGAAAATTATCATTGAAGTTAACATCAATAAACAAATATCATTATTGTTAATTGCGTTTATACTGTCACTTGGTATCAGTTCCTTAGTTTGTTGTGTTGTGTAGATCATGTTGGATAGAGATACAGGCCGCCCTCGTGGATTTGGTTTTGTGACATTTGCAGATCGACGGGGAATGGAAGACGCTATTAGAGAGATGCATGGCCGGGAACTAGCTGGCAGAGTTATCTCGGTGAACAAGGCTCAGCCCAAGATGGGGGGAGATGAACCAGGGTATGGTTATGGTGGAGGTTACTCATCAGGTGGAAGAGGCAGCTATGGAGGAGGAGATAGGTCTGCAGGACGATCTGACTGTTTTAAGTGTGGGCGGCCAGGACATTGGGCTCGGGAATGCCCTTCAGCAGGTGGTGGTGATGGTGGACGGTTCTCTTCACATTCTAGGTTCAGTGGTGGTGGTGGCCGAGGGGATCGCTTTGGAGGAGACCGTTACAATGATCGCCACATGGATGATCGTTATGATGGCAGACGCTATGGTGACAGGGACCGTGTTGACAGCAGAGACACGAGATATGGGGGCCGTGATCGTTATGCCAATGACCGCTATCCCCCCAGTGGGGATCGCTTTGTAGGTGATCGATATGGGGGTTCAGACAGGTATCCGCAGAATGGTTATGGAAAGGACAGAAACTATGATAGGGATGGTGGCCCAAGAGGTGGTGGTGGTGACCGGTATGGAAGTGGTGGTCCAGCTCGTTATGAAGGAGGAAGTTACAGGGACAGGCCAGGCCCTTATGATCGTCCCAGCAGGGGAGGGCGTCCATCTTCCTATGAACGATATTAAGGGGTGGTTGTTTTGAAGACAGTTTTAGGTATTTGTATTTACATAGGTTACTCAGTTTCTAACACTTGTTTCAGATGAATGCAGTTTACGGATGCATAACATATTTCCTCTAGATAGATTGATGAATACTGTGGAAGTACGCTTTGCTTGTCTAGTTTGTTGATGATTAATGGGGCTCTCTGTAAAGGAAAATATCAAATCACCTGAATGTTCTTGGTTCTTGCTGTAATGATTTCCCTTGTCTACAATGGACACCAAGGTCACCAAAATGTTCTTATTTTACTGTTCTCAGTTCTCACAACATTGGATCTTTGTAAGCGGGATGTGATGCATACACCCTCTGTTGATTGCATAACATGCTGGCAGTACCATCTGCACCATGCTGAATTGCTGAAAGCTAGTTAGTGCATATGGGCATGAATTCTGAGACATGCTTCAGAGAGGTAACTGGAAATGGAATGTTCCAGGTTTTCAAATGGCTTCTTACACGAGGGGGGAAATATTTGTTAAGACTTGCTTTTGAAAACGTCGTCAACTCGTGACTCGTCATCACTTTCTACCAGGGCGAGATCGGAAAATGGGTTAGTTTGTAATTTCGCAAGAAGGTAGTATAACATTGAAAGCAAGATCTTTGGGTTTGTCATCTAACAAAGTAACAAGTACCAAAAGCAAAAATCTAAGTGCGAAATTAGTCTGAAATCTGAATACAGTGCCACGGAAAATCTAAATGTTACGTCCAGACTAACAGCTGTAGATCAGCTGATGATGGATGTTTTCTTCCTGATGCAGCATTCTTTGATTATTGGAATTTACAACAGACTATAAGCAGTTCACAGTGGAGGAGAAATTATGATTAAAGCATATACTCGGGGAGGTATAGATCGGATGTGGATTTAAACACCCCCCCCCCCCCATCCGATTCAATTAAGATCGGAGTCTGATTAATTTTTTTTGGAAATTTATGGTTTGATCCCCATAAATTTTTATTGGTTTTATTTTTTCAATCCTCCACCTATGCTATATTACCCCTCTTGTATTGATATATCCCCATCGGATCCGATCAGACTTTGGATCAGATTTAGACGTGTATGTGCATTTATGGAAATAAATTTTGATGCGAGTGAATTTGATTCGAATCCGACGACTTGATTACAGCCCTACAGTGGATGATCCATATCCCTCCAGGCTCCAGTTCAACTTTTTTATTGAAGATTTTTTTTGGCGGTCTTGTCCAAAAGAAAGAAGGCATCTAGATGAACTCTTCTGTTCCAGAGCAGCAAAATCCACGAACTTTTTTGAGCTAAAACCTTTTGAATTGGAGCCTTTTTATCTCAAGGAATGGTAGGACAGAATGAGACTTTCTAGCTGAGTATCTATAAATAAATCTGGATTTACTCTCCTCACACCAACCTTCCATTACAATATTGTCTTCTAATCTCCGTAATAATTATTCTGGAAAGGATGGCCAAAGGTGACTCTTTTCTTTTCTTATCTGCCTTGGTATAATGGTAAAATATTGGGCTGGAAAGACTGAACATGTAGGCTCTAGTCTAAGGGCGGCCACTATGTGCAAAAAAAAAAAAAAAAAAGAAAAACACCGAAGGTTAGGATCACCAGTCTACCCCCTCCGAAGACCGCAGATAGCTCTAACCAACATTGAGTAATGGCCTTTTTATTTGATAAGGACATGGATCTTTTCTAATACCAGAGTAAGATTGAACAAAATGAAAGAAAAATCAAAGAAGTGTTTTCCACAAAGTGATGAAAGGTGATGATGTCAACAACCAACCACAGCAAGTGGGATTTTCTGAAATGTAATCATTAAGCCTCAAGATTGTTAAATTTAAGTTAGGCAGGTTTTGGTTCACTTGATAGCGATGAGGTTGTTAATTAATTTGAATTAACTTGCAACAAATTAGCTAGAGTTTTATTTTATTTGGGTTTAACTGTGGTCTAGCTGTTCTGGATAGGAACCTGGAACCCTATGGTAGTTGAACTATTTCCTTGAGCAAAGAGAATGTTAAAGTTTAGTGATATAGTGATGAGAATTGAGATCCTTAATTAATAACCTTAGGTTGTGTTTGGTACTATTGCCGTTTATACTTGATACGTTTGGGGTTTATCAATACAAATTTTTTGAGAAATTGTCTTATTACATCACATAAGATAGCTACTTCCACTAAAAACACATATGCGTGGGATTGATCTTTGACACTTATAGTTGAAATTTCAAAATGACGTTTCATGAAGAAGCAGCAACGGTTCCAAATGTTATTTAAAATTTCATAAAGGAATTAGGTTGGGGTAATAAGAAAATGATCCAAAAACTGACTATAACAAGAATTATGGCACAACAAAGTTACTACCCAATAAAATAAAATAACAACCAGAACTTATCTCCTTCAAATGGAATAAGTCTTTAAGGGTGATGAAGATGATGATCCAATCCATAACATAAATGTGATAGTTCTAGTTTTCTACTTCCTTTATCTAGAAAAAGGCGTGAGAATCCTCTTTTTGGACATTTAGATGGATAAATAGAATTGACTTTGGGTTAGGGGTGATGACTTGCTTTTTTTCTTCCTTCCCAATTCCCATTTTGCTTTAAGAAACAAGGGTCTGATGTGAACCATAAACAGCCACTACCTTTTGTGATGCAGACGATATCGTGTGATAAGAGTGAAAGCTTTTAGGAATATTATAATAGTAGCTTTAACAAAAAAGAACAAGAAGAAAATCCAAGCCAAGTGTTTCTGAAGTCGGATATGCAGATTGGAAATACGGTATATATCAAATGGCCTGCAGCTGGTCCATCTCTTTGATCTGCAATTCATACCACACTGGCCGGGTGATAACCAGGGAACAGTAGCTTCAAAAGAAAAAGAAGAAAAGTGGAGAAGTTTTCAAAGTTTTAAGATGGTGGTTTCTGTGACCCACCAGACCAAGTGGGAAGAGTTGAGGCCTAGACATTGAAGTCTTTGATTCTTGAACGCAGTAAGGTGTGAATACTATACTGTTAATTCAACGGAGGGCTAAACTTTAGTGATTGACGTAGGTTTGCTTTTCTTTTTTTGATGAGATTGGATAGGTTTGGTTTGCTTGATTGTGATGATATTCTTAATCAATTAAACTAGAAAAAAAGGCCATCGGCCAATGTTTGGTCTCGGTTATATGGGGTCTTAGGAGAGATAGACTGGGTATGGTCCTAAGTCCTAAAACTTTTGGATTTTTTTTTTTTGGAAAATTCCCGATCAGTATCCTGTACTTTGGCTCGATTGACAATTTGGTAATCGAACTTTAAAATGCAATAACCCAGTATCCAAACTTTTAAAACATGACAATATCCGGTACTTGCTGTTAACCAGTCCATTAATCAACCATTAAGTTACATTTGAAAAGTCAAAAGTGCCCTTTGAATGTCATCTAATTCTCTTTATCAACCATCCAAACGTTGACAAAAAACTAAACAGTCCCAAATCCTAACTAGCCTCTTCTATTCAAAAAAGTTAGTGACTGTTTAGAAGAATCTACAATTCGGGACTGTTCATTTTATTGCTAATGTTTGGATGGCTGATAAAGAGAATTAGATGACATATTTAGGGAATTTTTGACTTTTCAAATATCACTTAACGGCTGGTTAATGGACTAATTAACGGTAGGTACTGGATTGCCACATTTTGAAAGTTCGGGTATTGGATTGTCACATTTTTAAAGTTCGGGTATTGGATTGTCACATTTTGAAAGTTTAGGTACTGAATTGTCGCATTTTGAAGTTTGAGGACCAAATTGTCACTTGAGCCAAAGTATAAGATACTGATCAAGAATTTTCCCTTTTTTTTTTCTAATAAGTAACTTGAATATGTGTTCTCAGGTTTGGTGGCCCAAGATTTTACCATTACAACAAGTAAACTAGATTTTCATTTTATTTAGTGCTAAAACTATAGCATTCAACTTCCTATATTCCAGGAAAGCCATGTAATTAAGCAAGAGAGTAGTATGTGACGTGTCCTTATTGTTCTAGCATATTTTAGAACGGGAGACTTCATATAAAAATTGTTTCTTATAATACATATAAAATTAAAAAAAATGTACATATAAAAATATTTACTATTTTATATATAAAAATTAAAAATATTATATATAATGAAAGCTCGATTAGGCTCACAAGTTTTATGAGTTGAGTTTCATTGTGCTCACGCTTGTCTCAATTAGAAAATAAGCTAGCCTATATATTGAGCTCGAGTTCATCTCAATGCTCAATTTAGACCGAGCCGAATCAAACTTTTCATGTGCCAAGCTCAAATAACTCAAAGCTTGATTCATGTCCACCTCTAACCATATTGAGTGGGGTTCACATTCTAGGAAAAAAAAATGGAGATATACTCTGTATTTGATATGTTGAGATGGATGAATACCAACAGATGGTATTGAAATGAACGCATTTGAGAGAATAAGAAACTATGGTAAGTTCTTTTTTCATTTTTTTGGGGAAAATTCCTGATTAATACCCTATACTTTAGGCCTACTGTCATTTTGGTCTTCAAACTTTAAAACACAACAATTCAGTACCCAAACTTTCAAAATGTGCCAATCCAATTCCTGTTGTTAAATGGCATGTAAAAAGACATAAATGCCCTTCGAGTGTCATCTAATTTTTTATCAACCATCCAAATGCCCTTCTCAAAACTAAAACACTATTCATCATCTTCTTCCTCAAGAAGGTGAAACAGAGGTATACGTTTTTTGTACAATTTTGCAAGGGAATGGTAATGATCCAGCTCCTACAAAAACCAAATGACTCCCCTGAAATCCCTAACTAATGAATGTGACAAGTGTTGAAACCTCGGAGGGTTTGGGGTTGTTCACCATTGTTTTGATTCGATTTTAATTCCTCAAGAAGAAGATGATGAACAGTGTTCCAAAGGTTAGTTTTGACATTTTCAAAAATTTTAAATCGCACATGTCATTACATGAAACACATAACTGACAGTTGGTTAACGGTAGGTATTGAATTGGCACACTTTAAAAGTTTGGATACTGTAAAATTATCGCATTTTAAAGTTTAGGGACCAAAGTGGTATTAGACCCAAAGTATATGGTATTAATTTGGAATTTTCCCTTTTTTTTTCAGAAGAAAAAAATATAGACTTATTCACTTCATATATATGAATAAAGCAAAATTTAATCTACAATTGTAATTTAAAGACTTCATAAAAAGAATGTAAGAAAAAAGAAATTAAAAAATTCCACTCTTTATGGCAGAGGAAGGAGAAATGGTCAGA